GGTGGTCAAAAAGGCAAATAGGATGCTAGGAATTATTAGGAAAGGGATAGAAAATAAGACCCAGAATATCTTACTGCCCCTGTATAAAACTATGGTACGCCCACATTTTGAATACTGTGTTCAGATGTGGTCTCCTCACCTCAAAAAAGATATTTTGGCCTTGGAAAGGGTTCAGAAAAGGGCAACTAAAATGATTAGGGGTTTGGAACGGGACCCATATGAGGAGAGGCTAAAGAGACTGGGACATTTCAGTTTAGAAAAGAGGAGACTGAGGGGGGATATGATAGAGGTCTATAAAATCATGAGTGGTGTGGAGAAGGCTGATAAAGAAAAGTTATTTATTAGTTCCCATACTAGAAGAACTAGAGGACACCAAATGAAATTAATGGGTAGCAGGTTTAAAACTAATAAAAAGAAGTTCTTCTTCACACAGCGTGTTGTCAACCTGTGGAACTCCTTGCCAGAGGAGGCTGTGAAGGCTAGGACTATAATAGAGTTTAAAGAGAAGCTGGATAAATTCATGGAGGTTAGGTCCATAAAAGGCTATTAGCCAGGGGATAAAATGGTGTCCTTGGCCTCTGTTTGTCAGAGGCTGGAGAGGGATGGCAGGAGACAAATCGCTTGATCATTGTCTTTGGTCCACCCTCTCTGGGGCACCTGGTGTTGGCCACTGTCGGTAGACAGGATACTGGGCTAGATGGACCTTTGGTCTGACCCAGTACAGCTGTTCTTATGTTCTTATGTTCAGTGAGGCTAGTGGTGTTGCAATCCGTGGACTCGTAGTCCTTCTTAAACAGGGGAAATTTATTAAAGAAATAGCTAGAAAGTTCAGCAACAAAAACAGGTCTCCACACACCTCAGTATCCAGCCTGGTCTTGTTTGTTAACCAGTGACCACAGGTTGCTGTGAACAATGCACACTTATGTACAGCCCATCAATGTGTTTCAAGGAACCAAATCAGGGAAGCAGGTAAATCAAAGACCCTGAGCAAGGCCTTTCAATAGCAGCACAGTAGAAATAATAAATAATAATCTCCTTAAAAGTTTTTAAGGAAAGTAGTGTCATTGGTGCCAATTTGTTGCCACTCGGACATTGTGTTGACTGTCCAAGGTAAACGTGCGTGGGCAATAAAGCGGTTCCTTTTACCCCTTCCACTCCTGGGTCACCTGCTTCTTCTCTAACTCCCCCCACCTCTGTGCATCTCCTGCCCTTTGCCTTGGAGCCTCCGGGAGCCTCCCACTTGCTGTGCCGAGCAGGGAAGGGAGAGGAGGGCGCTGATGTCAGGGAGGATGGAGTGAGCAGGGGCGGGGCCTTGGAGAAGGGGCAGGAAGGAGGAGGGGGGGCAGGGGTGTTTGGGGGTGAGGTAGATCCTGGACTGCACTGAAATTCAGAAAGTTATCTTGTGGGAGCCCGGCACCAGCTCTGTGAATGTCTCTGTGCTCAGCATCCCACGGGCCAGTCCCAACATTACTGGGGATTTCACCTGTGGGTACGAGAAGAATGTGTCTGGGAGGTGGATCCCGTCCCCAAGGAGCCGGGCTGAGAACGTGACTGTGAATGTCACAATGCCAGGTGAGTCTGCTGCTGTCTGCTAACATCTCCCCCAAGGTCCCCTTCCCTAACACCCACACTTCCTCCATGCTCTGGCGGTACAAGCAAGGGCAAGGCAGGGCAGGGCAGGGCAGGGCAGGGCAGGGCTAGTTCAAACTAGCGGGGTAGTGTAGACAGACCCACTGACAATTAATAAAATAACATTCAGCATATTTAACGGACCAGGCCCGTTTCCTGATCCTATTGCTGACAACACTCATTAAAACGCCACAGAGCCCATAACAGACTCAGCTCTATGTTCAACCGGCCGTGCACCCCTCATATTCCTCTGGGACCTTCTTAAGCCTGGTGGCTCCTTATCCCGATTTTCTATTCCCCCGGGAACATCTGATCAATTTGAGGAATTTGGCCGTTTTCGTGATGATCTGGGTTCCCCCCCTTGGTTTCTGTGTCTTTTGGACATGCTGCTGTGCCTCCTACGAGCTCCAGTTGGATTAAAAGTCCATCCTCTTGGGTGGCCACTGCGTCTGGGGATACCGCTCACTGGTGCAGTGTTTTACTGTTGTGTGATGGGGTGAGGCCACAGAAAACCCCTGGGGGGGAGGGAGCGGGCTTCCCAGGGTGCTGACAGCCACTGCCACTCGCCTTCCTGCGCTCTGGGGTTCCTCCCCACCCAGTCCTGCTGGGCCAGCTCCCCCACACAAGGCACAGAGCTGAGACCCCTGCGCCCCCGAGGAGCAGCACAGACACTCTTCCTGGGATACCCCTCCCCAGAGGGGATCAGAACCTGGGTACGCCCCTTTTGCAATGAACGGGGGAATGTGCCCACTGGTTGCCCCCTCTCCCCTACCCGGTAACAATTATTTGCACTGGGCTTGAGAGAAAATAAAAGTGGCTGTATGAAGTACCGGCAGTAGGACTGACGTGGTGATAAGTGAGAACAGGCCGAGCCAAGTCGGTTACAAATCAAAAGGAACAGAAAATGCTCGGCTGCGTCTAACACTAAAACCCTGAGCACAAACTCACCCGCAGACTGTCTCTTCTCCCACAAAGTCTCCAAACCAGGGCTGTCCCTCACCCGGGGGTCTGTAGTTCACCCTCCTCAGGTGTGCCCAGCCAGCCCAAAGGCCCAGACCCCTATTTCCTTTTGCATGGGATGTCACCTGGGCAGGAGGGGTCCCTTGCCCTGCCCCTGAGGCCTGGCTGAGGGCAAAGGGTTCCCGGCTCACACCCATTGCAGGGACCCTGCCAGCCCCAGGCCCCCCAGCCAGGAGGATCCCAAGGGAAGTGAAGGCTGAAGAAATGACCCACACGAAGGTCCCTGCCCACAAGACTCTGTGGCTGAGCTGTGAGGCCCACAAGCTCTGTGAGTCACAGTCTCACCCACCTGTCACACAACCCTGCTCCCCACCCCCAGCGGCTCCTCTACGGCTTCCTGGCTTCCCTCTCCACTCCTTAGGCAGGGCAAGCACATCAGGCATCCAGTGACCAGCACGTAGGAAGCTGGCAAGTGTATGAACTAATGAATTGTATCTGTTCCACCCCTCACCCCGCACAGAAAAGGCAGTGAATGCTTGAGTGTCTCTTAGGGTATGTCTACTCTGCACAGTTATTTCAGAATAAGCTATTCCGGAATAGTTATTCCGAACTATCTTATTTCAAAATAGCATGTCTGCACTGCAGGGAAGCCTCAAAATGAGTCTGAGGCAGGCTCCCCTAATGTCGACGTGCTATCTCGATTTAGCACCCCAGGAGGAATCACTTAGAATGGCCCTGGAGAATGAAGGGGCTGTTTCAAAATAGCAAAAGTGGAGCATCGATACATGCCTTAGTTTGAAATAACTGTTTCATAATAGGAGTTATTCTTCATAGAATGAGGTTTACAGAAGTTGGAATAAATCATCTGTTATTTGGAAATTATTTTGAAATAACAGAATTGCTGTGTAGACGCTCGCATAGTTATTTCGGAATAAAGGCCATTATTCCAAAATTACTTTACTGTGTAGACACGCCCTTTGAGAGCCCAGGAAGTGATTCAGGAAAGAGGGCCCAGCACTGGGTTACTAGCAGGTCCACACCGGGGTCAGTCTAAGAGCTTGAGAACCAGGACAAAACTTTTGGTCCATTTATGAGTAAACAGCCTGAGCAGCCTGTCCCGGATCTGCGTAGTCCTCACCCCGTAGATGATGGGGTTTAGCATGGGGGGCACCAGGAGGTAGACATTGGCAATGAGAACGTAGAAATGCAGGGGCACATTGATGCCAAACCGATGCGTGAGGAAGGAGAAGAGACGTGGGACATGGAAGGCTAAGATGACGCTGAGGTGGGAGCTGCAGGTCCCAAAAGTCTTCAGCCGGGCATCATTGGTGGGGAGTCTGAATATGGCCCTGAGGATCTGGGTGTAGGACACAGCAATAAGAAACAGATCCAGACACATCACAGAGAGTGCCACAGACAGGCTGTAGTAATTACTGATGCGGATGTCGGCGCAGGCCAGCTTCACCACGGCCATGTGCTCACAGTGAGTGTGCGGGATGATGTTGGTTCTGCAATATGGCCACTGCCTTGCCAGGAGGGGATAGGGCAGTATGAGCATGGTGCCACGCAGCACCACAGCCAGGCCAAACCTCAGCAAGATGGGATTACTCAGGATGGTGGAATGTCTTAGAGGATCACAAATAGCCACGAAGCGATCGAAAGCCATGGCCACGAGGATCCCAGACTCCATCACTGAAAAGCAGTGAAGGAAGAACATCTGGGTGAGGCAGGCACCGAAATTGATGCTCCTGGAGCTGAACCAGAAGATGGTCAGAGTTTTGGGCAGGGTGGTTGTGGACAGGACCAGGTCGGTGACGGCCAGCATGCAGAGGAAATAGTACATGGGCTGGTGGAGCCTCGGCTCTGTCTTCACGATGAAGAGGATGGTCAAGTTTCCCAAGATGGCTATGATGTACATGATGCAGAAGGGGATGGAGATCCAGACATGGGTGGCCTCCAGGCCAGGGATGCCCATCAGGATGAAGGTGGAGGGGTTGGTGATGTGGGTTGTATTGAAACATGACATGGAGAAGGGGAGAAGGTATCCAACTGTGAATCAGAACAGTGTCTCCTGTGTGTACCGCACGTTCCGCTGACTTCCTGTGTGTCCCCAGGAGCTAAGGTGATGGTGTCCCTGGATGGAGAGAAAATGTGAAGATGAGACATAACATGCACTACGGGAGGCTGTTCTCATGGGTAAAGCAAATAGGTTACTTTTCACACACTGATTAGTGACATTTTCATTATTCGCAAAAAGTAACTGTGAAAAACTGAGCCAAGTAATAGCAATTCCCAGTGTATTGGGGCTTTATGTGTCAATAATCCCTGCACATCACAGCGTAGGAAACCTCAAAAGACACTAGCAGGAAACACAAATATTGGTGCTGAATAACCCTCATACACAGCAGTGGCCAAAACCAAGACCTTGTTCAGATGCCTACGGAACGCGAAGGGGAATAACCCGTCCAGACATGTGCTCAGTTTTTGTCCCCCCATCTCTACAAAGGTTGCAGTACAGAGAAAGGGTGTTTCCCGGACAGGCTATGAGACTAGGGGGCGCTGCCCTATGCAGACCCGTTGAGAGCTCTGGGACTCTTTGGCTTAGGGAAGTGACAAGGGAGGAGGAATGTGGCAGAGGGGAGGAAAATAAAGATGGGAACCGGTTACGTTCAAATGGACCAGAAAAGAAAGTTCCCAAGCAGAAATATCCAGCGACACTTAGTACGAATTCCTGATGTTGAGGCAACCTGTCAGCAAAACTGATTGGGAGGGAAAATATGGGCAGGAAAACAGGGAGGGAAACTGAGGCTTTGTTCAGAAGAGTTTATTAGATGGTTAAAAAGCCGAAAATCCACAGTCCACAAAAATGGACTTAAGCTACAAACTTGATTCGGTGGCACAGGGAAGGCAGCAGTTGGGGGGGCAGGTGATATATAACAAATTAGGGAAAAGGGAAAATATCAAGCAAGAATATGTATTAGAAATTACCTAAAACGCTAAGGGATCTGAAGGACAACTGGAGAAAATCCATGCCTATCGTAGTATCATAGAACTGGAAAGGACCTCCAGAGGTCATCAAGTCCAGTCCACGGCCCTTGCAGCAAGACCAAGCACTATCTAGACCATCCCTGACCGGTGTCTGTCTAACCTGCTCTTCAATATCTCCAGAGATGGGGATTCCACAACCTCCCTGGGCAATTTATTCCAGTGTTTAACCACCCTGACTTTTAGGAACTTTTTCCTAATGTCCAACCTAAACCTCCCTTGCTGCAGCTGAAGCCCATTGCTTCTTTTCCTGTCCCAATAGCTGAAAGATTAATTTGGCAGCTTTAAATATCATACAAAGGAGACTAATAAGCATTTAAGAACAGAAAATATCCCAGAAAGTTTCTGCCAATTTCTAGTGGGAGAAAGGAAATTTCTTTATGTAGCTAAAAGGCGGATGTGCTCCAGAAATTGCATGCTGCACTTGGGAAGAAGCAATGCGAGATGCACCTATCACTCCAGGTGATGAAACAATTTCCAGTCGATTAGCAGTTCAAGGAGGATGTTAACCGCAAGCACAGTGGCACCGCAGTGTTATGAACACCGGAGCTACGAACTGACTGATCCACACACAGCGCATTTGGGACCAGGTGTTCTGAAACAAGCAGCAGCAAAGCTCAAACAAACAAAATGAAACAAAAGGCAAGTAAAGGACAGGTCTGTGGTAGACATACAGTGCTCGAAATGGGAAACTTTAACAAGAAAGATTTGACAGGGTTAGGAAACACCAAAAAAGCTGGTAAGGGCTTAATTAAAAAACTCCAGCAATATAATTCATGCCAGACAGCAACATGGCTTATTGGAAATCAGGACTTCTGAAATAAACCCCAAATTGTCCTTCAGTGAAAGTACATGTCTGGTGATCAAGGGAACTTAGTAAAAAATACTCTAGGAATATCATTAATGCCAGACAGAAAAATGGCCTGTTGAAAACAGGTCTCGCCAAATGAACCCAATCTCATCTTAAATGAAATTACATGTTGGGTTGATCAAGGGAGTCATACAGATTCATTTATTGTTTATTTCTCTGAGGCATTTGATTTAGTAGGAGAAAAAGTCTGAGGAAAGGAACTCTATAATAGCATCAGAGAATACTTCAATTGGTGAATAATTGGTTAACGGATGTGAGGAGGTTGCTGTCTATGCACCATTGTCAGGGAACGGGGCTGTTTGGAGTTGGGATCGGCAGGGATCAGTTCTAGGCCTGATGCAAGTCAATATTTCCATCAAAGTGAGGCGGAACAGCCTCTATCCTGGCTGGTTTGGAGACAGTCAAATTAGATGACTCGAGGCACTATGACTCCACAGTGTGAGATCTTATTGTGGACCAGGCCTTAGTAACACACCAGGGACGGGTCAATTACATCAAAAGCCAGAACCTATAGCAGTGAGAGAAGAAAACAGTTTTACACGGTTCATGTTTGGCCTGTGAATTTCTTGTCCCAGACAATAATGGAGCTAAGAGCGGAGCTGAATGGCACCTGTAGCAGGACAGGGCAGTGCAGGTGGGGTTGATGGTCGGACAGCTTGAAGGCAAAGACTTCCTTATCATTTGGGGTATGGCTACCCTAGCCACCTTAGTTCAGACTAGGGTGGCTAATGTAGTCAGTCGAACTTGCAAATGAAGCCTGAGATATAGATATCCCGGGCTTCATTTGCATGTTCCCGGGCACTGCCATTTTTAAATGCCCCGTAGCTCAAACTACCTGCCCACGGCTACACACGGCACGGGCTAGGTAGTTGGAATTAACACTCTTAATTCATTGCAGGAGGAGTAACGGTAGTTCGGGCTAGGTAGTTTGAATTAACACTCTTAATTCGAACTACTGTTACTCCTCCTGCAATTAATTAAGAGTGTTAATTCGAACTACCTAGCCCGTGCCATGTGTAGCCGTGGGCAGGTAGTTTGAGCTACCGGGCATTTAAAAATGGCAGTGCCCGGGAACATGCAAATGAAGCCCGGGATATCTATATCTCAGGCTTCATTTGCAAGTTCGACTGACTACATTAGCCACCCTAGTCTGAACTAAGGTGGCTAGGGTAGCCATACCCCAGTAGCCATACCCTTGTTTACAAGACTGGGTGTCTGCTGCCGAGTGAATTGTTACTGAACATTTCGGGCAGTACAGCTCGGCTGACCTCTCAAACGAAGCCACAGAAACAATGTTTTGCCCAGGTTACAAATTCTTACCATTGTTCCCGTGAGGACCCCGGGCACCTTCTCAAGAAAAGTGTCAGGTAATGGCCCCCGCACTTGCCACATGAACAGCCAGGGCCCAGAGAGGCAAGAAGAGGAGGGGACAGTGTCTGCATTCACACACCGCTGGATCCGGAGTCATTTTACTCTCAGGGGCACGTCTCAGTGGGGCATGACCCAAGCATGATCCACGGCCCGAGGGTTGGGTTTTGTCATACGGCTGCTACCTCCCCTCAGCCCGAAGGGCCCCTGTGCCACTGACATGCAGCCACGTGGGGGCTCGAAGTGAGGAGGGTGCCCAGAAAGGAAAAACCTTTTGGCCAGAGACCACGGACTTGCTTTCTAGCCAATGACAGCTACGCTGCACGGGAGCTGCTGAGCAGCTGAGCTTCACCTGTGAGTGCTGGGAGGGACGTGTCTTCCCTGGGAATCCCCCTCAGGCAGCCGTGTCCTGCACCTCTCTCAGCCCAGCGTCTGCAGCAGCGTCCGGCGCCGAGAGCCGGCACAGGGCTGGGCACTGGTTATAACCCAGCTCTGGGCCGTCCCAATGGGATTCGCTGAGCTTCCAGGAGAGAAGCGGCATCTAAATATAAAGAGGTTGGAGACCCGCATCTGTGAACTTTTGTGCCCTTCATCCAGCTTTCGAAGTAAACAGCAATTAAGGGCTGTTCCCAAAAGGATGAGTCAGCGAGGAACCGGCTGCTCTGCACACTTGTGGGTATTTAACACTGATACTTGATCAGTATGAAACCAAGGGATAATGTCTGGGCCGCCATGGGGCCTAGGATGGACGGGGGGACTATTGAAAGGATGAGGGAGAAGATGTCTAAAGAGAGACATGGCGCTTTCTGCAGACAAAGAGGAGTGTCGCTAAGGGATCAGAGGAATTCTCTGTCAGTCGTGTCAGTATCTGCCATCACAGGGTGCAGCGCCGCTCGTTGAATGGACGGCAAAACTCCCAACAAAGCAAAGTCACTAGGAAATTCCCTCCTGTAGATGGAGACCCAGGGAGCCATCCTTTGGACAAACTGACCCAGACAATGACAGACGGAGCCCCGGAGTGCTGCTTTGCCTGCCATACCCACAGTCCCTCCGTCTGCAGCTGAGAAGAGAAAACAGATTCATGGTCTGGCAGGGCCTGTGTGTTAGTTGGGTGTGATGGGCTTCCCCGGAGTGCAACCTGGCCCTAGATTCCCTCCTAGCCCTCTGGCCTACCAGTCTGGGCCCCTGTCTCACGGTGACCCTGCGGGAAGCCACAGCACACGGCCATGCACAGACAGGGGCACGCCCCGCTCGTGTTACATGGGCGGTAGCCTGACCAATGGGATATATTGCCAGCTGTGACCCTCCCACAGACACGGAACACTAGGACTGGAAGGGACCTCCAGAGATCATCAAGTCCAGTCCCCTGCCCTCCTGGCAAGACCCAGCACAGTCTAGGGGTACGACCAGACAGCACCCCACTGTCGAGATAAGGCATGCATTTTGTGCTATACAAATTGTGTTGCTTATTGCGAGTCTAAGTCAAAAGAGATTTTTTTAAAATTTGGCGGCATCTACGTTGCACCAAATTTCCAAATAGGGTACTATTCCGACAAATCCCTTAACTCCCATGAGGGTGTGACAGCGCGTTGGGGACCCTCCGATCCTGCACCTCAATAGCAGCAAGAACAGACTCCACCAGCCAGTAGAACAGAGAGGGTGTGTCTAGACTGGCAGGATTTTCACAAAAACTTGCCAGCTGTCTACACTGGCCGCTTGAATTTGCACAAGACAACTGATGT